TTTTAATTTGACCAGAGAGGGACAGAGAGAGAAAGGGGAAGTGAGAAAGCAAGATACCAGGTCTGGGATTCGAACCGCAGTTGGCCATGTGGGAGTCAAATGCCCTTAACCACCATGCCACCTACTGGTCCCTCAGTTCCAATTCTTGAAGGCCATGAAACAAAGGCTTAGGAATGTGTCTGCTATAGCAGAAACTGGAAGTTTGAAGGCATAGTAGTGGGAAGGGTAATTGTGGATGCTAGAGATAGTAAGAATGGGGTAATAGGGGAGTGAGTCATTGAGGAAGGGGAGGAGGGGAAAAATATGTTTAATTGATACAAAAATAAGTTATTTGCTGATGATAACGTGTATAGTAATGTCTTTGTCTTCACTGAGATGCACCATATTTGTGTTGGAAAAAGCAACGTTGTACACTGTAAAGATATATACTGATCAAATGTAAATTAAAAATAAATAAACTTGAAAAAGAATAAAACACTTAGGGATAAATTTAACAAAAGCATTAGACTTCTATAACATAATGCTGAGAGAAATCTAAAACTAAATAAATGAAGAGGAGCGGTTCTGAAGTCGGCACTCGGGAGACTAGGTCAGTGTGCGCAGTATTTAGCACATACACAAATAGCTTTCCTGTCTTTTCCTTGTTAGTTTTTAAACTTGCTACAGGGTGTGTATGCTTGCCAGAGACAGAAAGTGAGAAAGCACCTTCCAGGGAAGCGGCTTCAGTGCGATCCCTTCTCCTCCATTCTCCTCTTGGAATGTTTAGCATGCTCACACACGCGCCCTTGTGTTTTTGAAGCTGCAGGGCACCCTTGTGTGTTTTTGAAGCTGCAGGGTTTAGTACTCGAACTGTGAAGTTGACCATGTGGGATCCAGCCACTGTAACCATCACGCCACCTGCTGACCCATTTTTGTTTTAAAGGCATCTAAGATACTGTGACTGTTTAGAATACACTAAAATGAATTTTATAAAATTCATACACTGGGCCATATTTTTTCTTAAAAATTAGTTTATTTAACTTTATTTATTTTAATTTGATCAGAGAGGGACAGAGAGAGAGAGAGAGAGAGAGAGAGAGAGAAAGTGAGAAAGCAAGCTACCAGGTCTGAGACTCGAACCGCAGTTGGCCGTGTGGGAGTCCAGTATATTTAACCACCACGCCACCTGCTGGCCCACATTGGAACATATTAAAACTAAACATTCCTGTTCGTCAACAGGCACTATTAGGAGGGTGAAAAGATAATCCACAGAATGGAAGAAACATTTGCAATACATATTTTGGACAAAACATTTGGTATCTACAGAATACTCCTATAAATAAGAAAAAGACAATCTCATAGAAAAATAGGCAACATATTTGAATGGTCTCCACACAGAAGAGGACATCAGTTGTCCAATAAACATGCAAAGATGACTTAATTTCAATAATTATCTGAGTAATGGAGATTAAAAGTACAGTGTGATACTGTCACACACCTACAAGATTGATAGAAAAGACAGAAAATACTAAGCATTCAAGAGGGTATGGAACAATTGGAAGTCTTGCACATGTTTAGCAATTAGTTTGGAATAATAAATTATTTTATTTATTTATTTATTATTATTATTTAATTTGATGAGAGGAGAGAGGGAGGGAGGGAAGAAAAGAGAGAGAGAGAGAAAGTGAGAGAGCAAGCCGCCAGTTCTGAGACTCAAACCATGGTCAGCCATATGGGAGTCCAGCACCTTAACCACCATGCCACCTGTTGGCCCCATGGTAAGCTATATTCCAGCTGAATAACTGCATGCCTTATGACCAGCCATTTGACTCCTAGGGCGTGTGCTTGTGTTGGCCTGCTTGGGCTGCCTTGTCAGAATGCCTTGGGCCATGGCTTACCAAGCAGGCATTCAGTTCTCATAGCCTGGAGGCTGGGAAGTCCAGGGTCAAGGTGCTAGCCAATCGGGTTCCTAAAGACAGTTTTCTTCCTAGCTGTCTTCTTGCTGTGCCTTCCAGGACAGAGAGAACTCTGCCTCTTCTTATGAAGGCACCAGGCCTATTGGTCAGGACTCCACCTCTATGACTTCACTTAACCTGCACCACCTCCTCCCAGTTCCTGTTTCCAAATACAGCCACACTGCAGTGCATGCTGCTCATACGAGCTAGGGAGGCGGCATGGAGCCGGGGACACAAACATGCCATTCCTAATGGTACCCGACAGAAAATGGGTGCGTGTGTTCTCCTTTGCATGGCAAAGGCCCCTCGCAGCACCACTCACACCTGTCATCCTCACTCTGGAAGTTGTTCAGAGCCCTAGCTGCTGTGGAATGCACGGACACATGAAGAGGGTCTCATCTGATGGAAACCACACAGCAGGGGGAAGGTGTGACGGGCAATCACACATAGCACACAGGAATCTCACAAACAGGATAAAAGGAGACAGGCACCAAGGTCCTCCCTGGTCTCACTTATTTAAGGTATAAGAAGAAGCACAAACTCATCTAGCCAAGGACAGTGATCAGTCCCCCTCAGCAGAGGAGAAGAGAGGGGCCACGACTGGAAGCGTGAGAGGACTTCTGGGGAGGCCAAGGTTAGTCCCTTCCTTTTGTTTTTAAGTGTGAGAGAGAAGAGAGAAGGAGGCAGCCCTAACAGGTCTACACATCACAACTCAGTCTCAGCCGGCCTGAAATGAGGCCATGGCATATGTGAGCTAACCGTGCTCCGGAGTGTCCCAGGATACGAACCCAGACAGTTCTTGTGTGGATGCAGCTGTGTTACCACTGTGCCACCACCTGGCCCTGGATCATTCCCTTTCTTGACTTGGGTTCTTTTTAAATGAGTGTATTTAATTTGTGAAA